GACCGGCATTTTTCAGCCTTCCACAATTTTTTAAGCAACTTTCCTCGAATAATTTAATTTTTTAAACACCTATATGAGGCCTGGATTTTTTTAAATAATTTTTTAAACACCTATATAAGGCGTGGATTTTTTAAATAATTTTTTTTAAACACCTGTGTGGGGTGAGGATTTTTTAAATATTTTTTTTAAACACCTATATGAGGCCTGGATTTTTTTAATTAATTTTCTTTAACACCTAAATAAGGTGTACATTTTTTTAAAAAAAAATTAAGCACTTATGTAATGTGAGGATTTTTTTAATTTTTTTTAAACATCTATATAAGGCCTGGATTTTTTAAATAATTTTTTAAACACTTATATAAGGCCTGAATTTTTTTTTTAAATAATTTTCTTTAACACCTATATAAGGCGTGGATTTTTTAAATAATTTTTTTTAAACACCTATGTAGGGTTAGGATTTTTTAAATATTTTTTTTAAACACCTATATAAGGCCTGGATTTTTTTAAATAATTTTTTTTAACACCTATATAAGGTGTGGATTTTTTAAATAATTTTTTCTAACACCTATATAAGGCCTGGATTTTTTAAATAATTTTTTTTAAACACCTATGTAGGGTTAGGATTTTTTAAATATTTTTTTTAACACATATATAAGGCCTGGATTTTTTTTAAATAATTTTCTTTAACACCTATATAAGGCGTGGATTTTTTAAATAATTTTTTCTTGGACCTACATAGGGTGAGGATTTTTAAAATAATTTTTTTTTTGATTTTTTTAAATAAATTTTTGACATTTTCTACCAATTTTTTTAATAATAAATTTTAATAATTTAATTTTTAATTAATACATTTTTTGACATTTTCTACTAATTTTTGCAATTTCTAAATTCTTACAAAATGAAAAAAAATTTTTTTGAAAAAATTATAGCCCCGAGATTTTTCAGCTTTGTTCAATTTTTGAATATTTTTCCTCTGATTTTTTTCCAAAATATTTTAATTTTTTTAATAATTTTCTTTTAGCACCTATATAAGGCGTGGATTTTTTAAATAATTTTTTCTAGGACCTATATAGGGTGAGGATTTTTAAAATAATTTTTTTTTTGATTTTTTTAATAAATTTTTGACATTTTCTACCAATTTTTTAATAATAAATTTTAATAATTTAATTTTTAATTAATACATTTTTTGACATTTTTCTACTAATTTTTGCAATTTTTAAATTCTTACATAATGAAAAAATGAAATTTTTTGAAAAAATTATAGCCCCGAGATTTTTCAGCTTTGTTCAATTTTTGAATATTTTTCCTCTGATTTCTTTTTCCAAAATATTTTTTTTATAGTAAATTTAATTAAGCTAATTACATTTTGAAATTTTTTCAAAATTTCTTAATTAGGCCCATGACTTTACTCAGATCCTGTGTTATTTTTTTCAGGTGATTTTTTTTTTATCGAAGTGATGATATGAAGTGTTTTTTTTTTTTTTTTTTTAAATGCGAAACATAATTTTGTTTTTATGATTTATGAATTGTTTTTTTTTGTATTTAAAATGATTTAAAATTAAAATGAATTTTGAATTTTCGATTTTCGAAGTGGAGGGCCAAACGGTGGGTCGACAATTAAAGAGGGGTTTCAAAATTAATGGCTTTGTTACTTTTTGGTCGATTCGCTTCGATTTCTTTTTTCTTAATTTTGTTTTTTCCAAATTTAGGTGAATTGTTCTAATTTAAAAACAAGGCCTAAATAGAAAATTCTACCGCGTAGTTTTTTGTCCTGCTGATGGAGAGAGAGAAAGATATAGATATAGAGCATGCCAATCACTCAGAGGACTGTAACTACTATTTTTATTGGGGGAAGGGGGGAATTTTGTCGTGGGGTTATCAAAGGGGAGGCGGGATTTTTTCCATTAAGAAAAATAATTCCATAAAATCAAAAAAAAAAAAAAAAAGAATGGAAATTTTTAAGAAAATTAGAAATGGGTTACCCAATTTTTAAGGGGAAATTTTTTTGGGAAATTTCTAGAAAATCTTTGTCTCGGCTTCCCATGGGGGTTAAATGGATGGAATTTTTTAATAAAAAATCGAATTAATATTTTTTTTTCAATTTTTTATTTAAAATATCGCCAAAACATTTTTTTTATTTTTTAGAGATTTTTATCGGAATTAAATTATTTGCCGGCTTTCCAAAGGCTTGGAGGGTAAAAATATTTAATTAAAAAAATTCTAATAAATATTAAAAAAATCGTAATAAGTTGAAAATGTCCCAAAAATTTTCTGGAAATGTTTTAGCAAATTTTCCTCAGGTTTAAAAATTTGAATTAATATTTAAAAAAAATGGATTTATTTTAAAATATCTTACTTTTTGGGAAATTATTTTTTTTTCGAAAAAAAAAAGATCTTGGCTTACCAAGGGTTAAATAAATATTTAATATTTTTTTCTAAGTTTCTGATTGATTTTTTTGGAAATTTATCGAGAAAAATTTTTTCTGGGTTTCTCACGGGTGAAAAGGTAAAAAATATTTTAATTAATTTTTTTTTTAATTTCAAAAAAAAAAAAAAAAAAATTTTGAAATTTTTAAATTTTTTGGGGAAAAAAATTTTGGGTTCCACACAGGTTAAAGGGTAAGAATTTTTTTAATTAAAAAAATCTATTAATTTTTTTTGTAAATTTCCCAATTTTTTCTGAAATTTATTATTATTATTTTTTTTTTGTGAAAAAATAGGTGAATTGCCCAAGGGTTAAAGGGTAAAAATTTTGTTTAGTTAAAAACACATCTATTAAATTATTGTTTTAATTTCCTAATGGTTTTTTTGTGAAATTTTAATTTCTTTTTTTGGAAAACATTTTTTGGCTCCCCATAGATGGGTTGCCTAAGGGTTAAAGGGTAAAAAATTTTTTAAAAACAAATCTATTAAATTATTGTTTTAATTTCTTCTTTTTTTGTGAAATTTTAATTTTTTTTTTTTTTTTTTGAAAAAATGTTTGGCTCCCCAAGGGTTAATGGGTAAGAATTTTTTAAAATAAAAAATCTATTAAATTATTTTTTTTTTAATTTCTTAATTGGTTTTTTATGTAAAATTTTTAATTTTTTTGGGAAAACAAAATTTGGGTTCCCCAAGGGTTAAAGGGTAAGAATTTTTTAAAATAAAAAATTCATTAAATTATTTTTTTTTAATTTCCTAATTTGTTTTTTTATTTAAATTTTTAATTTTTTTTTCGAAAAAAAATTTTGGGTTTCCCAAGGTTAAAGTGTAAATTTTTTTTAGTAAAAAAAAAATCTATTAAATTATTGTTTTTATTTCTTAATGGTTTTTTTTTTGAAATTTTATTATTATTATTTTTTTTTTTTGAAAAAATGTTTGGCTCCCCAAGGGTTAATGGGTAAGAATTTTTTAAAATAAAAAATCTATTAAATTATTTTTTTTTTAAATTTCTTAATTGGTTTTTTATGTAAAATTTTTAATTTTTTTTGGGAAAACAAAATTTGGTTTCCCCAAGGGTTAAAGGGTAAGAATTTTTTAAAATAAAAAATTCATTAAATTATTTTTTTTTTAATTTCTTAATTGGTTTTTTATGTAAAATTTTTAATTTTTTTTTTCGAAAAAAATTTTTGGTAAAATTTTTAATTTTTTTTGGGAAAACAAAATTTGGGTTCCCCAAGGGTTAAAGGGTAAGAATTTTTTAAAATGAAAAATTCATTAAATTATTTTTTTTTAATTTCCTAATTTGTTTTTTTATTTAAATTTTTAATTTTTTTTTTCGAAAAAAATTTTTGGGTTCCCCAAGGGTTAAAGGGTAAGAAATTTTTTAATGAAAAAAATCTATTAAATTAAATTTTATTTAAATTTCCCAATTTTTTTTTTTTAAATTAAATTTTTTTTTGGAAAAAAATTTTTTTGGTTACCCATGGGTTAAATGCAGAACAATTTTCTAATAAAAAAATTCTAATGAATTCCAATTTTTTTTTTTTGGAATTTTTCCTCTTTTAAAATAACCCACATCTTGTTTTGGAGCTTTAAGTTTAAGGTTTACTGAGAAAAGCTTTCTAGTGAGGGGTTTGGAAAGTTTTTGAGTTCGAATTTTGTAAACTTTATAAAGCTGGTTTTTAATATTTTTAAATTTTTTTGAATATTAAAATTTTAATTTTTTTTTTAATTTTTTTAAAAATATTTTCTTAATAACAAAGCCATTTAAAATAATTTTGTGCACCCTCTTTAATTTCGCAAGAGACTCATCTAAGTAGAAAGAGAGTGGAAAAAAACAATAAATAAAACATAAGGAGAGGAGAGGAGGAGAGCACCAAAAACAACAATTTTTTTTGAAATGTCATGTCATCACTTTATTTTTTTCCGGAATACATAAAAATTTACAAAATTAATATTTGTAAAATTAAAAAAAATAATAATAATTAAAATACATTTTTCACATATATGTATGTGTGTAAGTAAGTAGTAGTGGTGGGGTGTGGGCATTGGGAGTATAGGAGGGTGTTTGGGGTATAAATACTTTTGCTAAATTTACAAAATTTTGTAAAAAAAATTAAAATATATATTGCGATCAAGAACACAAATTAAGCTAGGCTTATACGAAACAAACAAAAAAAAAACATTTTTTTTTTAGGTTAGGTTAAAAATAAAATTTACAAAAAAATTAAAATCAATGCTGGGAAATATTTTTTTTTTTGCAACTACAAATAAAAATATTTTTTTTTTAAATTAACTACAAACAAAAATTGTTGTAAGCTTTTTAAGGATGCATTAACATGATTTTCTAAAATTCTAAAAATATTAAAAAAATAATTTTGTATATGTTTTTTTACTTAATTTAAAAAATTACTAATTCTAAAAAATTTTACTTTTTTTGTGTTCTACTAAAAAACTTAATTTTCTTGTATCTTGCTTAATTGTGATTGTTTTTAGTGTGTATGTGTGTGCGTGCTTTCCTTAAATTAAATAACTTTTTTTGTGTGGTTGTTGTTGTTTTTGTTTTCTTTTCGACTCACCGACGTGGTGGTGATACTGTTGTTGTAAACCTCCGCCGCCGCCACTACTCGTCGTCTGCGTCGTCGTCGTCGTACCGTTATTAAGACCACCGTTCATACGTGTTAATTGTTGTAGATCATTTCCGGTTAGAGGCGCCGATGAATTTAGAAATGCTGACGCCGTTACAATTGCCGCCGCACTGCCGCTGGCATCCGTCGTCGTGGCAAACTGATGATTGGCAAAATGGAAGCTATTGTTGTTGTTGTTGCTACTCTGTAAGATTGACCGGTTGTTGGCGGCTGCCGCTGCTGCTGCTGCTGCAGCGATAAATGGTGTGCTTTCAATAACTGGCGTCTGGGGTGAGTCCAATGGTCGAATGCCCACAAATGAAGATTCAAGCCAACATTTTCTGGAAAAAAAAACAAAAAACATTTTTTTAGATTTTTTCAAAAATTCGGAACAAATATTTTTTAAAAAATATGATTTTTTTAATAATATAAAAAAATATTATTTAATATAATTTTTTTTATTTAAAAACATTATAAACATATTTTTTTATACAAAAAAAAAAAAATAATTTTTATAAAAAAATATTTTTTTTCTAAATTTATTAAAATAATTTTTTTTTTTAAATTAGAAAAAAATTGTTTTTTACAAAAATTTATAAAAAATTCGGAACAAATATTTTTTAAAAAATATTAATTTTTTAATAATATAAAAAATATATTATTTAATATAATTTTTTTTATTTAAAAACATTATAAACATATTTTTTATACAAAAAAAAAAAAAATAATTTTTATAAAAAAAAAATATTTTTTTTCTAAATTTATTAAAATAATTTTTTTTTTAAATTAGAAAAAAATTGTTTTTTACAAAAATTTATAAAAAATATAAAAAATTTCAGTAGTGTTGGCGGTTTATTTGGGATACCATTTGTATTTTGTTTTTGCAAAATAGTCAGGCTGAATCCCAGTTTGTTGTTTTTATAAAAAAAAACAACTATTTATTAGTGGGGAATGTATGGCATTGTTTGCCGAGGGGTAAGGCAGGGAAGACTATAGTTTCGGATCACGCCACTGATCCTCATCAGTTCCCTTAGTTTTTTGTTGGGATATTCTCCCCAGAAGCTATTGCTTCTATACAAAAAACCTTTCATACCCAAATGTCTCTTGTAACAAAGCGAAGTACTTAGCTGTCCAACGACATAAACTGCATGAGAATTTCGCTGGAGCCTCACTTCGAGGTTAACAAGGCATTTACAAACAATTTACAAAAAATAGTTGTTTTTTTATAAAAACAACAAACTGGGATTCAGCCTGACTATTTTGCAAAAACAAAATACAAATGGTATCCCAAATAAACCGCCAACACTACTGAAGTTGTAGACGCAGGCACGGTTAAACTGTTTGGTTTGTTGCTGTACACTAGCAACACCAACAAAGTCGTTGTGTGCATTTGTCGCGATGTGACAACACACAACAGTGGGAAAGGTGTGGTATTGTTTGTAAATGCCTTGTTAACCTCGAAGTGAGGCTCCAGCGAAATTCTCATGCAGTTTATGTCGTTGGACAGCTAAGTACTTCGCTTTGTTACAAGAGACATTTGGGTATGAAAGGTTTTTTGTATAGAAGCAATAGCTTCTGGGGAGAATATCCCAACAAAAAACTAAGGGAACTGATGAGGATCAGTGGCGTGATCCGAAACTATAGTCTTCCCTGCCTTACCCCTCGGCAAACAATGCCATACATTCCCCACTAATAAATAGTTGTTTTTTTTATAAAAACAACAAACTGGGATTCAGCCTGACTATTTTGCAAAAACAAAATATAAAAAATAATTTTTATAAAAAAAAATATTTTTTTTTAAATTTATTAAAATAATTTTTTTTATAAAAAATTATTAAAAAAAATGTTTTTTACAAAAATTTATAAAAAAATAAATTATAAAAATATATTCACGAAAGGTGAACTTTGGAGAGACTTTGGAGCCCCATTTACCTTAAATCGGACTAAAAAAGATATATGGGAGCTATATATAAATCTGAAGCGATTTTCACGAAACTTAGCACACATCATTCTGAACCTAATTCAGTACACTATGCAAAATTTAGTGCAAATCGAAAGATATATAGGGACTTTGGTGCACCATTTACCTTAAATCGGACGAAAATATATATGGAAGCTATATCTAAATCTGAACCGATTTTTTCGAAACTTGGCACACGTCATTCTAGACTCAATTCAGTACACTATGTCAAATTTCGTGCAAATCGAAAGATATATAGGGACTTTGGTGCACCAATTACCTTAAATCGAAAGAAAGCTATATATGGGAGCTATATCTATATCTGAACGGATTTCCACGAAACTTAGCACACATCATTCTGGACCTAATTCATTACCCAATGCCATATTTCGTGCAAATCGAATGATATATAGAAACATTTTGAGCTCCATTTACCTTAAATCGGACGAAAATATATATGGGAGCTATATCTAAATATGAACCGATTTTCACGAAACTTAGCACACATCATTCTGAACCTAATTCAGTACTCTATGCCAAATTTCGTGCATATCGAAAGATATATAGGGACTTTGGTGCACCATTTACCTAAAATCGGACGAAAATATATATGGGAGCTATATCTAAATCTGAACCGCTTTTCACGAAACTTGGCACACGTCATTCAAGACTCAATTCCATGCTCTATGCCAAATTTCGTGCAAATCGAATGATATGTAGGTACTTTGGTGCACCATCTACATTAAATCGGTCAAAAATATATATGGGAGCTATATATAAATCTGAATCGATTTTGTCGAAACTTGACACAAGTCATTTTAGGTTACATTGGTTACACCGTGCCAAATTTCGCATATTGGTTACACCGTGCAGACGTAAAGACGGACGGACATGCCAAAAATCGATTCAGAAAGTGATTCTATGCATATTCTCAAAAGGAACCATGTGTCTATCTCGTTTCCTTTTGCCTGTTACAAACATATGCACAAAGAAATAATACCCTGTACCACAATGTGGTGAAGGGTAAAAAAAATCTACGCCTTTTCTATGTACCTCAAACATATTTTTGAAAAATCTACGCCTATTGGTAGTACCTCAAAACTTGTCCTGATTCTCTTCACCGTGGGTTTTGCTATGATGTTCGGCTTGTGGCCTATAGATCGACTCGAAAAAACACAAAAAAATTAAGTTTTCGGTCCACTTCATCCCAATATTATTATCTGATCATCATCGACCTTGACCATAACTGTAACCTCATGCAAAATTTAAAAGCGATCAGCGCTATATGTCAGCCCTATAGTGTTGTAAAAGGTTATTAAATAATATCTGAATACGTACGCACCTGTAAATATTTGAGTGTAACTACCACATCCGAGTACATACGACAATATCAATTTAAAGGTCAACCACTCATTTTGGATATACTGTCAACGGGTCTATGTCCTTCAGGAGTAAATATATACGTTATAGATTAAAAATTTTGTAATTTTTCACACAAAAGTTATGGTCCATTTGGCTCGCTAAATATTGACCAATCTTTATCAAAACAGGCATTCTTATTCTTTGACCCGTTCCCCTTCTCCGTGTAAAAATTCGCGAAGTTTGGGCCATAATTGCAGCCTCTGGAGCAACCAGAAAAACCGACAATAATTAATTATTTGGTCCATTTCACCCCTAAATATTAACCGATCATTACCAAAAACAATAGGGTTCTTCATTGGCCAGAACCCATCCTACATGCAAAAGTTCCTGAAGATTGGTCCATAACTGTTGCCTGTAGCGGGTTTACAAATTATAATGGACAGACGGACGGACACACATGTCTAGATCGACTCATCTAGTCGAGATATGACGATCGATATACTTAAAGGTGGGTCTAGGACCAATATTTCGCGGAGTTACAAACTCTTGGGGCTGCACAAAGCTATAATACCCTGACAACATAGTAGTGTAGGGTATAAAAATCTACACTTTCTATTAGTTTCCCAAAATATATTTTTAAAAAAAATTACGTCGAGTAATGATATCCCAAATTTATTCTTCAAAACCCATCTAATAATCCATAGTACATAATTTATAGAGTCCAACTGAGCGTATACGTTTTGTCATCACGTATACGCTTCGAGGTCCTTAGAAATTTATTGATTTTATTTTGTATCTTTTTAATAAATATTAAAATTATTATAAATATTATTTTATCTCTTAAGTTATACAAAATGTGAACCGATTTTGTCATGCCGTTTTTAAAGCCCCTTGGCCTTTCCCTCATTGCATGGCATTTTGTGCGCTAAGGTCTCAACTTGTCTTTTGTAAATTTAAATGAGGAGTATCATGGCCTCCGTTAATGGCCTGCGGATCGTGGTTTAGTTTCATGAATATTAAATTTAAAAATATATGTACAGCATATCTGCTTTTACGTACAAATTACATATTTCTTATGTTACGTACCACAGGGTGTATACGTGGCGACAGCATTCATACGCAGGGATGTTCCATTTAAAAATAAATCTTCTTTAAAGAACTAAGCCGTTAATTATTCCCACAAAAATATTAATACAAAATCTACGCCTCTTTTGAGGACATCAAATATATATATTTATACAAAATCTACGCCAATTTTGAGGACCTTAAAAAATTTACGCTACTTTTGAGAATCTCAAAAAATGTTTTTAAAAATCTACGTCAATTTTAAGGACCCTAACAAATCTACGCCTCTTTTGAGGACCTCAAAAAATATTTGTAAAAAATCTACGCCTCTTTTGAGGCCCTTAAATATATTTTTTAAAAAAAATTACGTCTAGTAATGTTCGCTTAAAAATCTTCAAAACTCACCTAATAATCGAAAGAAAATAATTACTAATATCCACCCTAACGTATACGTTTTGTCAACATATATACGTCTGGAGGTCCTTAGAAATTTATTTATTTAGTATTTTCTTCTTAATAAATATTAAAATTATTATAAATATCATATTTATTTATTTTTTAAGTTACATAAAGTGTGATCCCATTTTGTCATGCCGTTAAAGCGAGATATTTTTAAAATCCCTTGGCCTTTTATTTGTTCCCTTATATTGCATTGCATTTTTTTGCCCTAAGGTCTCAAATTGTCTTTTACAAATTTAAATGAGGCAACCCGTGGCCTCATTTAATGGCCTGCGGATCGTGGTTTATTTTCATGAATATTAAATCAAAATATATGTATGTATGTGTCATTTCTGCGTTTACGTACAAATTACATATTTATGCTACGTACCACAGAGCGTATACGTTGCGTCAGCAGGTATACGCAGGGATGGCCCGTTTAAAAATAAATCTTCTTTAAAGAACTAAACCCTTAATTATTTCCAAAAATATTAATATAAAAAGTCTATGCCACTTCTGAAGACCTCGAAAAT